GGGTTGGGCTGCGGCCGTTGCAGGAACATGTTGGAGCCTCTGACTGCATTTCTTGGAGTCTGCCGGGTGCCCCAAGGAGGCGGCCTCGACGCTGACGGCAGCTTCTCCCAAGCAGAAGAAAGCACGGTGACCTTCGAGAACTGCACCGGAGCTTCGGTTGCATCCGGGAGCCCTCTGGGCGACGAACGTGTGGGAGAGGTGAAGGCCTCGTTAGCGGGGATGTCAGGTAGTTAAGACATAGTAAGAGCATGCGCCTCCGAGTTGAAGGGTCTAGTCTGTGGTTTCAGGGGGTGGCCACGAAGTGTTTTGGGGAATTTTTAGCTGAAAGCCCGTGAACTCAACGCTACGGGTCTGAGCCCGTGCTGTCTCCCAGGTTCCGGCGGCGGAGGTGCACGCGTGAACGAAAACTTCACACAGGGACGCAACAGCTCCGCCATCTTCCGCAGTTGCAGCGCGAGTGCATATGGAGCCTGGGCTGCAGTGTTCTTGTGACTGGCGCATGTGGGAGCGTAATAGGAGCCCTCATTTGTACTTGGGGCATGCAAGCTCCACTTGCTCAGCGGAACAGACCCTGCAATCAAACGGATGTAACACAATTCAGGGTTTGGGATAGAGGGTGCGGGGCTTGCGGGCTCCTCAGCGTTCAGGTTTTCAAAAGGGAGATCTTGGGGTTGGGCTGCGGCCGTTGCAGGAACATGTTGGAGCCTCTGACTGCATTTCTTGGAGTCTGCCGGGTGCCCCAAGGAGGCGGCCTCTACGCTGGCGGCAGCTTCTACCAAGCAGAAGAAAGCGCGGTGACCTTCGAGAACTGCACCGGAGCTTCGGTTGCATCCGGGAGCCCTGGCGACGAACGTGTGGGAGAGTTGAAGGCCTCGTTGGGGGGGATGTCAGGTAGTTAAGACATAGTAAGAGCATGCGCCTCCGAGTTGAAGGGTCTAGTCTGCGGCACCAGGGGGTGGCCACGAAGTGTTTGGGCCGTTTTTTCGCAGAGAGCCCGTGAACTCAACGCCACGGGTCTGAGCCCGTGCTGTCTCCCAGGTTCCGGCGGCGGAGGTGCACGCGTGAACGAAAACTTCACACAGGGACGCAACAGCTCCGCCATCTTCCGCAGTTGCAGCGCGAGTGAATATGGAGCCTGGGCTGCAGTGTTCTTGGCGCCAGTGGGAGCGTGCTGGGAGCCCTCATTTGTACTTGGGGCATGCAAGCCCCACTTGCTCAGCAGAACAGACCCTGCAATCAAACGCGTGTAGCACAATTCAGGGTTTGGGATAGAGGGTGCGGGGCTTGCGGGCTCCTCAGGGTTCAGGTTTTCAAAAGGGAGATCTTGGGGTTGGGCTGCGGCCGTTGCAGGAACATGTTGGAGCCTCTGACTGCATTTCTTGGAGTCTGCCGGGTGCCCCAAGGAGGCGGCCTCTACGCTGGCGGCAGCTTCTCCCAAGCAGAAGAAAGCGCGGTGACCTTCGAGAACTGCACCGGAGCTTCGGTTGCATCCGGGAGCCCTGGCGACGAACGTGTGGGAGAGTTGAAGGCCTCGTGAGGGGGGATGTCAGGTAGTTAAGACGTAGTAAGAGCATGCGCCTCCCAGTTGAAGGGTCCAGTCTGCGGCACCAGGGGGTGGCCACGAAGTGTTTGGGCCGTTTTTTCGCAGAGAGCCCGTGAACTCAACGCCACGGGTCTGAGCCCGTGCTGTCTCCCAGGTTCCGGCGGCGGAGGTGCACGCGTGAACGAAAACTTCACACAGGGACGCAACAGCTCCGCCATCTTCCGCAGCTGCAGTGCGAGTTTTGGAGCCTAGGCAGCAGTCTGTCGCTGGTGGGAGTGCGCTGGGAACCTTGCGACGCCCATTCCCTTTGGTTGATGGTTGCGGGCTCTTCAGATTGCAGTTTTGTGAAGCGATTTAGGAGTTGTTGCTGGGGCCGGTGGCATGCCACGCAGACGCCTTGCAGCCTCTAGCTGCAGTTTCAGAGCATCCCGAACCCCTAGCAGGCCGCAAGGCAGTTGCTTAAGGGCATGCTGTGGATGCACTCCTTGGAGCCCCTTCCCACCCTCTAGCGCCGTACCTCCCTCGCTGCTGAGGGGACGGAGGCGGTGTTGCAACCAAAATTCTCAACGGCAACGGTTCAATGCACTTCAAGGCGTGCCGGGCACGTACAGGCCCGGAACTTCTTCATCTCCCGGCCCAAGCCCTAGCCCCAGGCTTGTTGGAACTGCGTTGCGGTTGCATGATGGACAATACTGGCTGCTAGCTGGGGTGGACTTTGCAAGGCAGGCTTGACTTCTTTCAGTTGTCCATTGCAGACAAGGTCTTTGACGGATTACCCCTAACCCTGAACCCTTAACCTCTGAAGGTTGATTCTGCAGACGAAGATGAGGCCTAAAGCTACAGTACTGCTTACAATGAGACAGTTTGGCGGTGGGCACAGGTGGCGGCCTGAGTATCACCGGCGGCACAGTACGTCACGACGGTTCGCTCGCTTTCGAGGCCGGGTGGTTGAGAGTGCTGGGCAATGCAGAACTTTAGGGCTTAGGGATCTAGGGTCAGGGGCTATAATATCATTGTTTGACGCAGGGGCAGGGTTCAGGATGTGGGGGTTGGGGGGTTCACGGTTTAGGGTTTAGGCCGCTGCTTCGGACTTGTTGGCCAGGCTAGAAACAAAAGAGGCAGCCTGCATGACCTTAGCTGGAAACTCTTCGAGTTCTTGGAGCCTGACAGAAAGCGTGATAGGTTTGCAGAAGTTGCTCCAGATTTTTCGGTAGTGAGCAGAGAGAAGCGGGAACTGGAAGGAGTGCAATGCCAGCAACACGGGCGGTGGGCTTTACATGGTTGGCGGCCAAGGACGGCAGACTTGAAACCCGCATGTTCGCTTTCCTGGTTTCCTTTCCTTGGAGACTAGGGGCTTTACAAGTGTTCATCGACATACTCGCAACTTCGTCATCCGGCTTTGCAGCACCCTAGGATCTGTCGCCAAGCTTAGCCTGTGACTCGCTCTGGGAGCAGTTGCTGACTTGAGACCAAAGCCCAAGCGAAGCGCGGAGTGCAAACCCCGCAGCGCGGCTGGCGACCCCCCACATGGCCGACGTCGAAGCTCAAATCCGTCGTGCATTCCATCCAACCGCCTCGTGCTGGGATGCCTGAAAGGCTCTCCATGGCGATTGAAGCCCTGTCACTGAACATAGATCTTTCAGGACTATTTGGAAAGCTGCTTTTCGATCGCTGCGATGCTGACGTGGCTGCAGCCGCCTTGGCTGCAATTGCAGCCAATGGCACAGAAGCGGAGCTTCGACTCGAGGACCGGATTTGCGCTCAGAAAGTGAAGATGCAAAGTTTACCTTGGTGGACACACAATTCTCCATGCCACGGGTCACGCGCACGCACGCACCCACACACACACACACACACATACACACACATTCCGCATCAAGGATGTGTCGGGTCACGGTACTTCAACAAGTACGACACCCTTAAAGTCTGGCAGACGTGAGGTTGGCATAGAGTGGTCTTTGCCTGGGCATAGATTGAGGGAAGGCTTGGGCTTGCAACAGAATGGCAAGCCCAACGCTGTAAGCACATGCATAAAAGATAGTCCATAGTAAGTAACATATGACTGTATAACTGTATAATGCACCCGAAATATTGCATGCTTTATGCTCAGCTATATGTAATGTATCAGATGGGAGAAAGTGAGTTTGAAAGGACGGCTGCTCTACCTCTAGGCTAGCGGCATGCGAGACCGCACGCCGTTCAGCGTTGGCCATAGGAGCTCTCACTGTTGAGGGACAGCGAAGGCAACGGCGACGACATCGCAGTTGCAGGCCAAGCCATCTCATTCAGTGTAAGTTTCAGACACAGCTGAGTGTGGTCAAGCACAATTGCTCTTTGCTGGGTGTGTTGTGGTTTGTTGGCATTTTGGGTTGGTCATTTGGGAATCGGACATCTGGATTTCGTAGCTTGGGTTTCCGACCCAGATAGCCATGTGAAGTATGCCAACCCTGGCACTGCTCCCAGCCTTGATTCCTGGCGCAGTCCGAAATCGGGAAGCAGGGTTTAGGGTTGAGGCAGAGCAGAAGTCAGAAGATTGGCCACCTAGCGGCCAATCTGCTCCTGTTGCCGGTTTGCTTGCTGCAGCAGTTCTGAGTTGCGCTCGATCGAGCAGTTTCGTGCTGCGGGTGGGTGTGCGATCGTTTCCAAGATTACTAGCTGCTACTTGCGGCAGCAATCCTCTGCCTGTGCTTCAATGTCCACGTGCCGAAAGGTAAAAAACGTGCCGACATGAACAAAACTTGTGACGTGCCAAAACGGTACCCGCCGACATTGGAAAAAAACACGTGCCGACGTGCTAAAATCCGCGCCGAGATGGACAAATATACGTGCAGACAGAGTTCAACAGAAAAGAGAGGTTACCATGAGGAACTCCAGGAATTCAAAAACACGTGTCGCCATACCAAAAGCACGCGCCGACATGAAACAATGGCGCCGACATGTCAAACCTGACCCTGCGGAGAGAATATCTCGAGGTGTTTTGTCCATCTCGGGGCAAAGTACACAAAAGGCTGTTTTTCGATTTGTAACGAAACCTCATGTATTTCTTCCATACAGTATGCGCTTACTTAGTGTAATTGTTTGCTCCTGCTGTGTTACTGTAAAACCATCACACTTGTGTCAGACTTGTGCAATCCTCGCTCTGATGCCAGCCACGCAGGCTAAGCTGTGTATGCCTTACATCACTGGTCTGACAGAATACGAAAGCAATAGCATTTAAAGGTACAGCGTGGACGCCTTGCAGGCACGCAGCCTCGCGTGCCAGCCTGTCTTGAGTCTTGAGGAGCTTCTGTGCTAGCTGCCCACTCTTCAGATGTGGCGGCATCCCGCTGCAGATTCGATGCTGCAAAAAGCTGCAAAATCTGCCAGAACACGATCCCAGATGCACAATCGCGAGCATGTCTTCTTTCTGATCAAGTATTTTGCTGGTAAAACAGAACTTCGACATTTGGGGTTGTTCGGTCTAGTAGTTGAACATAAGAAAAGCATGAGAGCACAGTGAATGACACAAGAACAGGCAAGCGCATACAAAGTGCGGGAATGCTATGATTCAAATTGAGATCAACCATGTAATTTTAAATGGCAAATATGCAAATTTGACCTACTGCCATATTGTTGGTGGAGCCACGGCATAAAACAACAGACGACCGGTACAAAGCGCAGCTCACCCAGGGCCTTACGTGGTGATGTTTCTGCTGGTGAGAGTGGTCATTAATCGTGGCGGGGTTTGCTGTGCCTCCATCCTTTGTCATGTGTCTTTCATAGTGAAGACAGCGGTGTGTTTGACATCTTGACTATGCTTGCTTCATCTCGCCGTTCGAAGACTCACCCTCTCTGTCTCTGTCTCTGGCTCTCTGTTTCACTCTCTCTCTCTCTCTCTCGTTGCTGCTCCCCAAAGCCTCCTCCCACGACTCAAGTTCCGTTGCTGCCTGTGCTCCAAGACGTCGCGTGCTGGACTGTAAATCCGGACCTCGGCTGAGTTTCTGCTTTCTTCCGTGCCAAGAGCCCGAAGTTCAAGAGTTGCATCCCGCCACGGCAGGCCTCTTGAAGCTCGGCTCCGTTCACCTGAGTACGGCGTCGAGCTCCGGCATCTACATCGCAGCACACAACCTTTCTCTCGAAGCTCGGAGGCACTTGGATGTCATGCAAAGGAGGGATTCGGAGGGGCGACCAAAACTCCTGTCGTTCTGGTGCAGCAAGGAAGACGTGATGGATTGTACGAACACCTCCGCTTGCAGCTGGCCTGCATTACGAGCTTTGCCTGCAGCTTTCAACTCCGAGTTGAGTAGACGATAAGCATTCCCATCCAGGCACCTTCTATGCGAACGCCGCCACAAGGGCCGGCTTCCTTTGCCCTTTGGGCACAGGGTGGGTGGATTTCGAAGCTTGGCATGGTTTCGGCTGCCTGGTATGGCTGGCCTGCATTGCCCTGAAGTGTAGAGCCCGCTCTTCGGATCCCCTATGGAGCTGCCACTTCGTAGGTGTGCAGGACCTGCATTAGAAAGCTTCTAGGAAATCTTGCGAGTTCGTTCGTGTCTCTTTGCGATTGAGGTCGGCGAAAGCTGATCTTGACAATGCGGACCGTAGCCAGGGACAGGTAGTGCCAGACACTCGACATAGAACCGAATGGTACCACGAACTTCCTCTAGAAATTAAGGACAGGACCCAACAAGACCCGCCAGGCATGCAAGCCAGGGGACACGCAGGTTCTGAACGTGACGGGCAGGCCTGCGGTGTCGACATCGAACGGGGACATTCATCTGGGTCCATCCAATTTTCTTAGAAGGAGGCTGTTGTTATCCTGGGTTTGCCGTTGGATCGTTTATGGTCCGAGCCTTAACGCCGTACCCCCCCAAGCCTAAACTTAACTTTAACCCCACAGCTGTGCCGCGACTCATAGCCCAGAATGACAGTCCAGAACAAAACTTGTAGTGGTCACCAGCCACGGAAAGCATGCCTTTCATCACAGATGCCTCCAGCTCCCTAGTGGCTTTCGGGTCGATTTCCAGCAGTATTTGTGATCGATTTTGTGCGGGATGTTTCAGATAGCAAGTACGTCTCCAGGCCGTGCAGTCAGTGCCCCGAAGGGGCTTCCAAATGCCTGGCCAGCGAGCTGAAGATGGAGTGCTCTGTCCTACAATGACCAAATAGAGGCTTTTGGGTTTCCGTTTTGGATTCTGGGTGTTGGGGGTTTAGTTCACCAACCCTGGCATCAGATCCGCGCAAGAGAACTATCCGTTAGGTGGCAAGCTTTAAGCGAGACTTCATTCATTTGTCTTCCGAGCAGTCTTTCACATGCAGGCGGCAGCATTTTTCCGAGCATTCATTTGACAAATTTCGCTTTCTTAGCAGTATGTCAAGGCAGGCAAGCAGCAGCACGCACCAGCATGCAGCAACAGGACGCCCAACACCGAATTGCGTTGTCCGAGCAGACTGCATCAGGATGTCCAAGATGTCGGTAAAGACTTCGTGCCCAAACCCTACACAGTTTCTGTGAACAGACCATGATCCTCATGGAAAGGGGCGATCAAAGCAAACCCTAGAGACAAACAAGAACCCTGGACCGTAAACCCTAAACGCCACTTCGAAGAAATCCCTATCATCAGGGCTGCAGCTCTCGCGAGACGAGCTCCAGCCCCACCGAGCAAGCCGCCATGATCAGGAATGCCTCCCAAGCAAGATGCCACCGACCCCTAAACCTAAACCCCAAACCCCAAAAGCCCCAAACCCCCAAAACCCCTAACTAAACCCCTAAACCCCTGAACTCCCTAAACCCAAAAAGACTGAGGCCCGGGCTCATGGTGGAATTGGAGGATATCAAGCGCAGCTTCCACTGTCCCAACGAGGCTGGGAAGATTAGGGTTCCAAAAGACTTCTGTAAGGGTTACTTTCAAGGATTTTTATTGGGGTCCATGAATCTGTACAGGGCATCTACAAGGGTTCTAGGAGGGTTTTAGGGTTCAGGGTTTTGAGACGCCCAGCCCCTACTAGTAAACACCCAAGTGACACAGTAGCCTCAAGACTGGATTCTTCGGCAACGAAACTGTGCCCTGCATCGCACCCTATTGCACTGAGCTTGGCCCAATACCCAAGAGGTCAAGAAGTCCACCCCTAAGGCTGCCTGCCCTGGGGGCGACGTATCCCAGGGAAGGGTGCACCTGGCAATGTGCGCGGCTGGCTCCCTGAGCTCTAATGGGTTGTGGTTGGACTTTGGCTTTGGGTTCCGGCTTCTGGCGGTAATGTCGAAGCCTGAAGAGGGTTCCCTGTCAGTATTGTCATAATATACCCCAAAGCCCTTTTCCATCTATAAGGCACCAGGCACTATGTTACTTTCATTAGCCGCGTCGTTCTTCTGACTCGGATTGTTTTGCGAGCTTTGCCATGCCACCTTTGACCCCGATGCTGAAGCACAGATAAGCACAGATGGAAATCACCGAAGCCTTGAGTTCAAGATCGCAAGGCTACCGGGGCCAAGGCTGCACGAGCTGCAGCGATGAGCATGCCATGGCGGACAGCAGTGTGTTCTCGTGCTCCTTGCCCGACCTGGACTTTCAAGCTTTGGGCCCTATTGGATTGTCTGAAGCTTGAAGGCCTTCCGAACCTTGGGCATCAACATTTTAATTCTGGCGGGGCTTGACGGTGCTCCTTTATCTTTTCCAGCTCAAGCAGCTAAAACTCGTGCGTCCATGCGGCCAGAGCTCAGAATTCCAGTGTTGGAAAATGATGTTGGCCATTGGAACTGCGGCTTGGGGTTCTAGATTCTAGACACATCTGGCTTCTCGGAAATGCGCAAGCACGTTCATGACCTGGTGCGATGCAAGATTAAAATATCATATCAAAAATGACCAAGTAGGCACATCCCCCAGAAAGAAAGTTGCAGGGCCCAGCAGCCTAGCTTTGTCCAGTCTTGCGTGCTGCCTGCTGCTCGCAGCGGCTGTCACCTCCTGCTAGCCCCTACGGGCTCCCCGCGAGTGCCTTCGAACTTCCAACCGTCATAATCCCAGCCGGCACTTCTCGCTCTTTGAAGCTCCAGTTGTATTCTGAACCACCGCATCAGCAGGGAGACCAAAGGATCCGGTTGCCACATCTTTGTGGCAAGACAGCATGTAGTCCTGCAGCATGCTGCCGAGGCACTGCCTGCAGCACAGACCGTCGTGTGCAGGCTGGACATTCTTATCATGCGCTCCGAACATCTAGGATGGTTTAATACGGCCAGGCACTGCGTTTTTGACTTCGTGGTCCTTTGCGAGAAACCGCATAGGTAAAGGCTTTGGTCCCACCGAAGCTATATGCGATGGCTTTTATTGGGTGCGTGGTCCAGCAAACCTCGGTGGATACCTGCAAGCCCAAACCCGAAACCGCAAACCGTTGAGATTCTCAAGTCAGCATGTGTGCTTGACCGTGGCAAGAAATTCATAACTAAGGGATATTGAGCTCCGTAAACTGCCAGGAAGCCTTGTAAATCCTGGCACAGCACCTTCAGAGAGGGGACCCATGGTTAAGGGATGTAGGAGTTTCTTTGGGCGAACCGACGCAGGCGGTGCAGTGGATCACGTTCCTGTCTCAGCGCACCTTCCTTTTCGCAATCGGAGCGCTGAGCGCCTTTGGAGCCAAGAAGGACGCTTGGCAAGACCCAAACCCTAAGCCATCTGGCCTGAAGCCATCTAAAGCACTAAAAATCATTAACAGCCCATATCCGACAGCTCTGAAGCCCTCAGGCTTAAAACCATCCTAAAGCTCTGAACCCAACCTTGCCTGGGCTACTGAGCTCAGGCTGGGGACCTGAAGCAAAGCAGCATCTACCTGAACCAGCTGATGGCCTTTGCCACGATCTCCAACACGACGCTGCCGGCATATCAGGGTCTTTATGGTCTTTTGCTTACCCTAAAGCCCTAAACCCTAAACCCCAAAACTGGTTTGAACTCTGAGCCCTAAGGCTAAAGTCTAAACCTTTTAGGTGTTGGGGGTTTCCGGGATCCGGAAGTCTTGGGGCGAGTGCCCAGGATCCTGGCTGCCGTTTTGCAGACCCAGACGGCGAAGGACATCAAAAGCGCCGCCGCCGCCCCGCCGGCGTTTCGGAGCTTTCTCCCTGCAGACTACATCACGATCATCATGTATCATCATATACCATCGTATACGTAATCTTATCTTATCTCTCATGGGCCTCCGAGCCAAGGCGAACTTCTTCTTCAACGCTGCTGTGCACACCGCCGAGGCAGCTTCCGGACAAGGACAGCCCTTCAGGGAGTCAGTGCGCTCCTGAGCACTCCGAACTGCCTAACTGAAGCTCAGCTTTTCGTGTCTGCTGGAGCCTGCAGCAGAGAGAGGGACCCGAGGTTACCCCCAGGATGCATCGCACTGCCCAGAGCAAGATTCCGGCTGAGTCCGCCTTCACTTGGTTCCCGCCGTAGCAGAAACCGGGGCAATCTCCTCGAAACCCTAAACCCTGCGCCCACAGCCTCAAACTCCCAAGCTGAAATCCTGAACCCTTGACCCTAACCCAGACTCCCCGTCGGTCTGTAGGAGTGACCCAGCAGCTCCCGCCAGGATCGTTACGCAGCGCCTCCTCGCAGTGTCTTTTGTCCTACCTCGGCTACGAGAAGACCCTGTGGCTTGGTCGCAGGAATTCCTGTTCAGACCCTCTTTGACTTCACTGCTTCACAGGCTGTCGGTGGACGGTTTCGGCATGGTTGCACAGAAGTGATGACTCCGTAGTTATGGTAGTTGTTGTGCGGACTGCGGCTCAGATGGGGCACTCACCTGCTGGATGTCGTCGCTGGGCCGCACAGACCTGCGTGGGAGCCAGAACCCATGTGGATCGAGTAGCTCCCTTACCGGTCCTTATAGTAAGGCAGCAAGGATTTTTCTATTGCTAATACTACCGTGGCTCCTTCATGGGGTCCCTCTGATCAGGTTCCGACTACGTTACTATGGAGGCTCCTTTCTGGGTCCTGAGTAGAAGGATCCTACTATTATTGTCCTTCGTGGGGTTCTTTAAACAGGGATCCCACTGCTATCACTCTTGTCACTTTTTGCTATGGTTGTAGTTTCAGGCGTTGAAGATGTGCTTGGTCCTGGAGTCTTCAAGCAGCCTGTGAGAGTAACGAGTAGTGTGTCTGGCCCGTTGCTGCTGAACTCTGTAGGAGCCTTACTTATGGCTTGGAGGCATCAATCTCCGACAACCCTGAAGGTTGTGGCAGCCGGGCTCATTTCATCGCTGTCCTTGATGAAGGATTCTCGGGTTGCGCTCATCGCAGGCTCGAGCGTCTCAGTAGGAAAGACTCCAGACACCGCAATCCTTACTGCTTGATGCCCCGAACTTTCTGAGTGGCTTCATTGTTCAGACCTTCTTTTGCATCTATTAGCGGATTCAACCATGAAGCTATAGTCTGAACCCTGGACTCTGAACCCTGAAACCACAACACCAAGCTGGTTTAGGGTTGAGTGTACAGCATTGCAGCAGCTCTCAGCAGATCAATGCGTGCACGTTCTTGTGTTTGCAAACAGCTGAAGCAAGATGGAGACAGATGTGTATATGTATGACTTAGGAAGCCTGTATACTATGCATACATGGATCCGCACATGCATGCATTAACCTACCTACCTACCTACCTACCTACCTACCTACCTACCTACCTAACCTGCCTGCCTGCCTGCCTGCCTGCCTGCCTACCTACCTACCTAACCTACCTAACCTACCTAACCTACTTAACCTACCTAACCTACCTAACCTACCTAACCTACCTAACCTACCTAACCTACCTAACCTACCTAACCTACCTAACCTACCTAACCTACCTAACCTACC